TATATATATATATATATATATATATAAAACTTGGATGCAACATACACATGGGTACACTTGAAGTCTCCCTGCTAAATCCCCCATGCCTCCCTCTAGCTGTTGGGCCCAGGGGCCAAGGGCAGGTGGCATGGTGGCACTGGGAAGGGTGGGAGAGTTGCTGGCAGCAGGATGAGAGGAACACACCTTGGGTGTAGGAAGCTACTTCCCTGCTTGGTACAGCACTGAGGAGGGAGAGAGACTAGTGTTGACCAAAGCCTTTGGCCCAGAAGGCTCATGGACAGGTGCCCAAGCTGAGTGCCCCAAATCAGGGCTTCCTTGAAGGCGCTAAATCACCGAGAGACTGGTGGCCCTTAAAGAAGCCTGATAGGTGACCTTCTCTATCCACAATCATTGTTTCTCCAAGGACTGGTCTCATCTGACAATTCTCAGGATCAGAGCTGTCTGGTACTAGAAAAGCCTTCTGGGTAGCAAGATGATGGCAGACATCTCCTCTCAAGTCATATCTTCCCATGAAATCACATCCACAAGCATTATCCCAGGACCTTGCAATGCAGATATGGTATTCATCTGGTCACAGCCTAAGAGATGTGGACTTGACATCAACACCTTTAATAGTCATATTTGCTGTCAGCCAAGCAAGCACCAGCTATCTTTGGGAAGAGGCCTGGAGTTTGATTGGTTCTCCCAGTATCACCCTGTGCTGCCATTCCATGTCCCCAGCCATTTCTTCCTTCCTTTTCTAGGCTGTAGCTGGTATTTGGCCATGAACTGCTTGGATCCAGAGTGAGAGTCAAAGGAGCATGCTTCTGCAGCCATGCACCTTGACTATCCCACTTCTGGTGGTGAGGATTGTGTCCTTGGGCTGGCTAGGACACTGAAAGGACTTGAAGGCAGTAATGTTGTCCAAACCATGAGGTGTTGCTCAGTTCTAGGCCCTACTCTGTGCTATGTGACCTTCCAAAGCCAAGCAATGTGTTTCAGGACTATGACTTCTCCCCTCAGGGGCAGCATGTCTTGTTGCCCTCTTTTCACTGAGGGCAGCCCTCTGCCCTTGGCCAAAGGCTGACCACCTACTTTTTCTTTTCACGGGCTGGTGGCCCAGTATACTCTGAAGGCTGGTGATGGCTCTACTACCTGCTATGGCTAGCACAGTCCACATACAGATAGGAGCTTGAACTGCCCTGAAGGACAAGCAGAGAGAGAGGAGGCAAGTAGCAGGGTTTCCCTTGTTGTAAAGGCATTTGGTGTATTTTCTGCCAAACAGCCAGGCCTACTTCAGCCCTACCCTCCCAGGGAAACTTTGGTAAAAGGCAAAATGGTTGGAATTTGGCCATTTCTCTTCTGGAATGCTGTGCTTGGGGTGAGGAGGGCCTTCCTCATGCTCTTTCTTTCTCTAACTCCATGAGGGATGTATTTCTTCACAATACAGACAGAGTTAGCCTGAAGAGCTGGTCTGGCTCTCTTGAGCAGTGCTGTTGGTGTCATGCCAACTTTTGTGGTGCTTCCAGGTGTATAGCTTCTATCAGATAGATTTACTCTTTGTGGGAAGGAGGACTACCAACCCCAATCTGAGAAATGGTGACAAAGACCAGCACAAACACATTCCCTGGCCAAGGGGAAGTTGCCCATAAAGTCACCTTGACTCAGGGGGCCAAGAGCCTCTGTTCCCAAGAGCCCTGTTGACCTTTTAACAGGCATGGAGATAGGCAGAGCCAGGGTTGGGGGGCAAGAATTATAATTTGGGTCAATACAACCAGGCAAAACATGTTCTATATTCTATTTCCAATAAAGAAATTAAAAGGAACCCTCTCTTACTGGTGATTAATGAGAGGTTGAGCCAGGTTAGATTAACCTTTTGCAATGCCTTCCTGACAGCAACTCTTCCACACCAGCATTTCCAAGCTAGTTAAACATGAAAACTGTGGATACAGAAGGGAGTGTACCATTCACTCCATATAGGGCTGCAATTCCCATGCAAATCAGAAACCTGCAGCTTGGCAGAGTGAGGACAGATCACAGTCTTTCCTCTCATGAAGGCCAGCCCTTTGAGGATGCTAATTGGAAAATGAAAGTTCTTTAGAGAGACCAGAACAGCAGCCTAGATGCCTTTGGTATCCTGTCTCTTGGGAGTGCTAGCCTGGTGCCTCTGAGCCTCTTTATAGCAACCAAATGAAGGGGTGGGCAAGGCTTAAGGAAAATTTGCTTTTTGGGGAGAAGGAATTTTCTCTTCTAAGAAGCTAGGCTTCCTTGAGCTTTGCAATGTCTAAAATTCTCTCCTGACAACTGGGACAAATGGAACTCCTTTTCCTATTCTTCCCCTGAAACCCACAAAAAAACCCAACCCCCTATAGTCAAGCTTAGTTTAGGTTACTTCTCTCCCTGTGTCTCAATTAAAAGACTATGTCCCTTGTGATGAGATTATGAAAATTTCCTTTGGATACAAAAAAAATAGAAAGTGTCTGCAACTCAGGCAGTCACAAGCTTAAGAGAGGAAGAAGGAAAAAAAAAATCCTATCATTCCACAACTCAAGACTTATGGCAGTATCTATGACAGAACCCTATTTTGCCTTCTGTTTCCAAATGGATGAATTTGATCACTCCATTAAGGGGATTAGAATTTTTTCCTTCAACCCAAGTTATCATAGGCCATGTTAAAAGGCCCCCATCTGGTTACGATGCCAAAGTCCACAGCAATAGGCAGTAAGACATATGCTACTTGATCCTCTCTAAGGGCAGCTAGCTGGGGTGAACAGATTATATAATCATCTGATGTATTGGTGGCAGCTATGCCAAGACTGAAGGGAGTGGGGGTGGAGAGGATCTGTACCATTATTTCACATTGTTAATAGCAAACAAGCCCTCTGTCCTTAAGTGGGAAGCAGTGCAGACCTGGCTGCTCATCAGTGGTGCATCATTCACTGTGTGTAGGGGGGGTGGCAGGGATATTAACGGGTCAGCCTGTGTCAAGGATGCATGCTATATATATAATCACTAACTGGGCAATTGGAATAGTCACAAAAGTACAGCATCTCAAATCCTGCATGGGCAACAAGAAACCCCAAAAGGGAAAACTGGAGCACAGAGCAGCAGTAGCCTCCCAGGGCAGATGTACTCAAGCTGAATGTGACCACAGATTGGCAGAAGAGGGAAGTGGGAAAACAAAGGCAAAAACTCATAGGAGCTTTCCTTGGCCAAAAGGATTTTCAAGTTAAATAGCAACCCCCACCCCCCACCCCTCTGCTCAACCCCTGATCCCCAATCACATGCTTAGGCCCCATGCCCCCACTCCAGAATAGATGATGACTACTCAGCTAGGTTTCCATTCACAGCAGTGGAGGAGTAGCTGGTGGGGAGATAGGCACCTTGCTCAGCCCTCTCCTTTGACAGGTCAAGGCTGGAAGCCCTGTAGTGAATGGGTTGAGGCTGTTGGGGCTCAGGCTGGACCCTGGACAGCTGAGGGATGCCATGAGTGATGCCCACAGGCTTGGCCTGGGACAGAGGGCTGGGGTTGAAGCCTCCAGAACTGGAGGAGCGACTGGGCTCATCAATAGGCAACAGCATATCTTGAGGGCTGGCTCTCATATTCTGGGAGGCCTGTGGCTGCAGGTTATAACAAGGGACCATGGGAAGGGGTAGGTGTGAAGGCCGAGCTAACTGAGGCCTGGATATCCCAGGTACCCTTAGCTCTGGCCCTGATACTGAGAGCAACATTGACATGGCCACAGGAGGTATGCAACAGATTGTCTGCCCATATGGAGAAGGGCCGGAAGACTCATCCAATTGGCTGGGACTTATCCAGGCAGGGCCTGGCCCCATTGGGAGAGGACAGGGAGCCCAGGCAAGCCAGTCGTAGGCCGCTGGTGGTTCAGTATAAAGGGACAAAGGACTGTCTCGTCCCCATTCTCCTCCTCCTCCTCCTCCTCCTTCTTCTTCTTCTTCATTTGAATCTTGCTGCTGAAACTGAAGCTCATCAGACACCGTGTATCCCTGGGCCAGGTGGGAATTTGAGAGCTCCAGCTCCAGGGTCTCCGCAGTGTCCAGAGAGCGGCTTCTCCTGTTGAGGGCCATGGCAGCAGGTGGAGGTCGAGGGTGCATGCCAGGCAGTCCCAAGTACCGAGGGAGACTGCTCACACCCCAGGGCAGACCTTGGTAGAATCGGCTGTGGTAGTTGGTGAATGTGTGTTTCTGGTAGTAGCCCACCTCAAAAGCTTCCAAGGAGGCTGCAAGGTCTTCATCATTCTGGAACTCAGGATTCTCTTCACACTTGCCTTCCCCATCCCGTTCCACATCAGCAATGTCAAAGGTCACCATAGGGGGTAGCTCAGGGAGGTTTTGAGTGAAGGATGAGTCAGAGTCAGAGCTGCAGGACATGCTGGAGAAGAGGTTTCCACTGCTGGTGAACTCCACAAGGGCCTGTGAGAAACTCACAGTGGCATTCCCTTCCTTCTCAACCTCTTCTTCCTCTGGCTCCTCAGGGGGTGAATAAGTAGGGTAAGCCTTCCTGGGAGATCCTCCAAAATTTGCTTCTTTCATGTCTGGCTCAAACATAGCATCACTTTGGAAGAGCTGCATTAGACAGGTACTTTGATCTTTCTTGGAGCAGATTCCCTCAAAACGTTTCTCTAGAGGACGGAAGTCCCTCCAGTCTGGCTCACTGCCTGCAGTGGTAGGGAAAGCTGAGGTGGTTCCCCGGTGGGAAGTCTGAGAGGCCCCTGATGTCCCTGCCACTAGGCCCATCACTGATGGGCCTAAGGGCCTCATCTGATATTCCATGATGGGCTTCTCTTGCCAGGCCTGAACCTCCCGGACTTGAGCCTCTCGAGCATGGGCCTCTCGGGCATGTGCTTCCCTAGCACAGGTCTCCCTGGCATAGGCCTCTCGGGCTTGGGCCTCTTTGACATGAGCTTCTCGGGCATGGGTCTCCCTGGCATGAGTTTCTTGGGTATAAAACTCCCTGGTGTGAGCCTCTCGGGCACGTGCCTCCTGAGCCTCTTGGACCTCGAGCTGCTCTCGCCGAAGCTCCCAATATAACAACTGTTTCTGGATGGTCACTAGCCGTTCTTCTTCTGTCTCCATTGCCCCAGGTGGCCGAGAGGAAGAAAAGGGCTCAAAGTTCAAGAAGGGGTCAAATTTTTCAGAGCTGCGACCATGGAGGTCATAAAGACAGTCATCCAGAGGTGGGGAGGCCTCAAGACTATCATCTGGCTCATAGAACTCATACAGGGCATCTCCACTGTAGCTATCTCGGGGCAGGCAATCCCTGCGGACAAGCCCTAAGGTCTCACCTGAATCACCCTCAAATCCAGGTGTTGTGGAGTCATAATAACCCTCATCACTATTGGGGGCAGACTCTTGCTGGTCACTCTGAGGAGTCAAAAGGTCCCCAGGGGCTAAGCCAGGATAAGATCGAACTGAGTCAAGGAGCATGTAGCCATGCTCTCCTGGAGATGTGATGGGATGGTAGCCTAAATGCAGATTAGGTCTTGGGTACATCTGGGCACTTGCCCACAGATACTCTAAGTCATAATCTTCTTCCTCCTTGACATCCTCTTCTTCTTCCTCTAATTCTACCTCCTCATCCTCCTCTTCTTCCTCATCATCATCATCTGGCAAGGCCATCTCCTCCCCACCTCCTTGGTAGGTCACCAGGCAGGAACTTCTCTTGGTCCCATCTCGATTTGCCCTCTGGCCTCCAGAGGCCATGCTATCTGTCATACTGTCCATGTCCTGCTCTGCTATGATGTCACCACAACCTGTCAGTGAGTCAAAACTTTTCAGGGATGTGACATCCCCAAACAGGAGGCTCAGCTGGTCCCCAACAGGGCCATTTGGTGGATTTACCTCTTCTGCTACCAATCTCTCCCCTGTTTTTGGACTGTGGGGCTCCTCTGGGCCACTGGCTTCAGAGGCAGACTTGGACTGCAGAAGTGCTGAGGCACAGCCCTCCATGGGTTTTTCTGTATCTTTACAGGCTGTCTTCTCAGTGACTGCTGGAGAAGACTCTGGTACTAAAGAAACTTTTGACCCAGGGGTATCTTGGGTTTTGGCATTTTCCTTTCTGTGAGCTTGGAGGATATCCTCAGCACAGGGCAGAAGGGCTGAGCTTACACATTCATGAGGCCTGGCTCTGGCCCCTTCAGACCCCTTGGCCCCTAGCTTATTTTGTTCAGCCCCAGAGACCTTGCTTTTCCGGTGACGGCGGATACTGCTGAAAAAACCTTTCAGGCCTTTCTTTGGCTTGGGCACAGAGGGAACCTTCTCAGCCCCAGCTTTGTCTGTCGCTCCAGCCACAGATGTTTTGCTTTTGGAGCCTGTCTCCAAAACCCCATGGGCACTCTGAGAACTGGGAAGTTGGCAAGGTGATTCAGGCAAAGGTAAGGCAAATCTGGTTCCTTCACTGACACTGTCTTCAGGGCCATGGGCTGCTTCAGTCAGGCCATCGTGGGTCTTGCTCTTGCTAAGACCCTTCTTGGAGATGCCTTTCCCAGAACCTTTGCTTCGCCCCCCTCCAAAGAAACTAGGCAGGGTACAGATACCCTTCCTGCCACCAAAAAGTTTCATGGCAGTTTTCTTCAGCCTACCTGGGCCAGATGAGGGTGGCTCTGACACTGGCTCTTCTGTCATCTCAGCTGCATTGTTCTTGGCTCCTTTCTCTGCCCGTTGGTCCTGGGTGTCCATAGAGGCTGCTGCTCCCTTGGCCTGAGAAGCTTCATCCTTTCCAGTCTCCATGGTTATGGGGACAACTCAGGTATGTTCAGCTAAAAAAGCAGCCCTTTGGCTTCCAGGCACTGTTATAACATCATCCGTCAGGAAGCATCACAGTTGCGCCTAGAGGAGATGAGAGAAACAAAGATAGAGAGAGTGTACTGCTAAGCAAGCATCCAGGCTATGTTTGTTTTCACAGGTGTCTTTTATTTCAAGCTTAAGTGGAACAAGAAAGAAAGTAAAAGAAAATGTATGAAAAACCTTAATGCAACCCATATGGTTGGCTTGCTAGGCCAGCCTCCCCTGGGCCCCAAGGCAACATAACCCTGAACAACAGGCAGCCATCACCCCAACCCCTCACTAGGTCCACTCCCTTTAGGCCACCCTAAGCTCAGGAGAGCACTGGGTAGGAGGAACTTCAGTTGTGGGAAATGCCCAGTTGTGCTATTGACTGCAGGGGTAATTATCAAAGGGGGTAGGAAGGGGGAGGTAGGAAAGGCAACAGGAAGGTCAGCTAGGATGACATAGGATTTTTGCCAAACAGCCCATTCAGTCCTAACTGGGCTCTTCAAGATCCAGGCCTCAATTTCACATTAGTCTGGGTTCTCACAGATATTTTTCATGGGGTTAGAAAGAAAAGTAGACCTGAAGTTCCACTTCTTCCCCACAGGCTCCCTAAATTGCAGCATGCCCATGCTCAGACTGTCAGAAGCCCAGAGTAGGAGCCTCACAGGCCCACATTCCAGAGCTATAATCCAGGATCTGCTAAAAAAGCATGGTGGCCTCAGGGCAAGGCACTCTATGGACTTCAGTACCCTTGGTCCAAAAGGCCCAGCAATACTTCTCCTTCATAGTGGTTATGTGAGGGGTGGGTCTAGGTCAGACTCTCTATTGACTGTCCTACTGGGAAAAAAATAATGTGGTTCTTGGTAACTGGAAACCCCAATTTCCATTTTAGAACCATGAGGCAAACTATGTCTTCTCTACTCCCCTCATTATTTTGGCCCCCATCTAGTTCCCTATCTAGAAAGGGAACTCCTTGAAGACATAACTCCACATGATTCATGTTCCTGGTCTGTAAGTAAGGCTCTCAATAGCAATTAAATAAGCAAACTTGGTACAAGGCACACCCTTCTGGTCTAGGCCCCCAAATTCTCCAAATATCCAAATGCCACAGAGATGGAATAAAGACTATCCATCACACACACCCCAACACATGTCCCCCACCCCAAGTCTGATATATGCATTCTAGTGACTGAAGCTGGTTGACAGATGGATCAGTGACCAGCCTGCTAAAACTCGTGACCTCTCCCTGGAAAGTTCCTTACCATTGTTTCCCTTCTCTGTAGGGTAGCCACAAGTAGACAGGGAGCTAAGGAAGGAGGGGAGGCAGAACAACTGCTGGGAGCCAGAAAGAGACAGACAAGCATTGCTGGTGTCCCTGGAGTAGTTTGCCAGCACATCAGCCCCGTAATTGGTTGCAACAGTAATAAGACTCACACATTCACCTGCAGTAGAAGACTAGGGACCAGCTTTGGGGTGGAGAGAGACTGGTAGCTAACTAGCCCCTGAACTCATTGGAAGAACCCTCCTGGAGTGCTTATCCTGTCCTTCAAACATGAATTTTGCTCCCTGTGCCTTGCTTGACTTGACACTTGAATCATCAGTGTGATCCCAACTTCCATCAGGAGCACTCTGCATAACTGAAATATTAAACTTGGAGCAAGATAATGGCTGGTTATCCAGAAAATAAAAGAGAAAAAAATATCTGATCCCTTCTCTGCAGAGATGTGTATTGTCATTTACTCAGGTTTTTTTCCTAGATGACATATTTTTACATGATATTGTTTTACCTCAGCCCTGCAACTGATAGCCTTACAATAGACAGTGCCATCCCCCACAAATATACAATCATGGATACACACACAACCACTCAGAGTCCTTTCCTCAGGGGTCATATGGGAATAGGGGCCCTATCATCTACGTGAATTCCGCACTTTTCAAATCACAGATTTTGCTTCAGCCCTGAAATTATTGACAGTGTTGTCATTATGGTGCTAGACATGGAATAGCAGGAGTGGAGTTGTTTATGAAATTGTATTCCCCTCTGTGGAATTTATGAAACAAACCTCTTCTGAACATTTGGTGAGTGATAGACATTAAGCTCAGTTCTACAAGGTAGCCAGTGCTTTTGGGGGAGTTCCTAGGCTAATAGGGAGAGGGTACTATATATAACAGTCTGAAGGCACAACATAATACAAGCCTTAAAGAAGAGCCCCCATTATTGCTTAAGATGCATGAGGGAGTATCATTATTTATACCTTGTTATCATAACCCACTATAAATCTGAAAAGTAGAAAGACACCCCCCTGGGTTCAGAAAAGCTGCATTGAGGAGGAGGCATTCAATCTAGGCTTTTTCAGACAGGATTGAGTAAAAATGACAATGATTTAGAGGGAGGGATGAAGGAGACTAGTAAGTGTGGCTGGGCATGAAGGAAGACCAAGGGCCAAGTGAAAAACCTCATGGATCTAAACATCCTTGTGGATAGAAGGCTGAATTGTCCTGCTGGGTTTGAGGATGGAGTTCTTATGAACAGAGAGATTCTGCACATTGAATCTTAAAGAGAGCTGCTTTTCAGAACCCTGATGCCTTGGCTGGAGGGAAATTCCTAGGGCCTTCTCTTACCTTTGCTATTGTGCTTCTCTGGGGTAAAGGCCAGCATACTACTTTCTACATCATTTACTTCCCTGCCACAGGAATCTGCAGTGTGTTGTGGAAGAAGTCATGGGCTGCAGGGCTGGGTTACAGGCCATGCCAGGGGACTCTGAACAAGCCAAGGTACCCCTCTTAGGCTTGGACACTTGTGAAATGGAGATCACATTATGATCTCCAGTGGTATGAGAATTAGATGGGATAATGGACACCACACACATTTTGTAAAGTGCAGTGCAAATGAGAAAGATTGACATTACTGTTATTACCACCTTCCAGGTCAGATCCCACTTTCTTAGGAAATAGCAGACCATGTATAAAAGGCCACTTATTTGGGTAAGGCATTCATTGTGGGGAGCCTTAGGGACCAGCTGCCTTGGCCATGCTAAGGAGGAGCCAAGTGTGAGGGGATTTTAAAGACATGAGTGTGGTTTTATACAAAGTCCTCTGTGTATGTGTGGTGGGAGTAGGTGAAGTAGGCAGGGATGTCTCTGGGACTAGGATTCTCTCCCCCCAGCTTCAGGCCCTCCTCCTAACTAGGACCAGGGTCATTTTTGCTGGAAAGGACCAGACTTAAAACTGTGTTGTCTCCCATTTCCCTGCCTTGTCCCTCCCAGGGCCACAAAGCTCCCCACAGATACCCATAATGCCTTAGGTTTCACAACCTGTGTGGCTAAGTTTCAGGTGGAATGTTGGGTAAGGGAACACTCTAAGGCTACTCTGTGGTCCCTGGCAGGGGCTGTTTATTGCAGTTGCTACTATCATTGGTAGGGAGTGGGCTGTGGCCATCTCTGCTCTCAGGCCCAGCCTCAGGCCATGCTGGGACCAGTGGAAGGTTGGCTACTAGGGCAGAGCTTCTTTCTTCTCCTTTCCTCTCAAAACACAAGCAGGATACAAGCCACAAACTTGCCCCAGGAACACTTCTTAGTGAGAAGGAAACAGCTGCGGCCTGAGCCTTACATATTTTGCTCCCAGCTCAGCTTCCTGGGGCCAGCTGAGCCAATTTAGAATTCAGGAAAGAAGTGTGTGGATTCATGCAGTAGCTCCAGAGGCATGACCTCAACCACTCATAGTTCTCAAGACTTCCACCAAGCAGTATCTGGGGCAAGACTACTCTGGGCCCATCTTGCCCATGTGTGTGGGCGGGTAACTAAGGAGGGAGTGATGAGGATAGGGAGCACCCCCCCAAGAGTCAGCCAGTTCTGCACTATAATCAGCTCTGCCTACCTGGGGGAAATCTAGAAAGTTCTTTCAGTTTCCTCACCTGGAAAATGAGGCTACTGAGAGTGTCTACCTCTTAAAACTATTGTAAGGAACCACATCAATGTATTTAAAGTACCAAATAAAATTCATTACATAACAGAGGCTCAAAAACATAGCGATTAATTTTTAAAATATTTTCTTCAAACTATAGTTGGACAATTTCTAGAGAAACTACCTCAGTCAGGATTGAGAAGGGTATACTCCAGGCCTTTATGGGTAAGTCACCAAAACTCTTTGGGTCTCAGTTGCCCCAAATGGTAAATGAGGGTGACTATGTAGTTATCTCACAGGAGGCTTTAGCTGCTCTTTTAGCCAAACTCAGGGACCCAAATTGTTGCCTCAAGTCAGCTATTGGCTAGTAGCTCTGGATTATCTGGGAATTTCAACTAGCTAAGTTCCACAGCATAGGCCAGAAAGGTCAACAATTCAAACTCAGCTAAATGCACCAACATCAAAGGAAATGCAAATGAAGTGCCCTTCACCGAATCAGGGCACTTACCAGTTTACAAAGCACTCCCCACTCCCTCATCCCCACCTTGGCCCTTCTTAGCAATCTATTAACCAGTCTAGGTGGGAGGTGGTAACTCCTTGTCACAGAGAAAGAAATTGCCTAGGCTTGGGAAAAGCCTTACCTAAGTTCACAGAGTAGGATGGTGACAGAGCCACACCAGCTCCCGGGCCTTTGCAATCCGTATCCCAATGCCATTCTACTTCACTGTGCTAGCTACCAATAGAAGGAGGAAGACTGAGTAAAAGGACTGTGAAGGTTCCCTTCATACCTGAAAGCCATCATCTCTCCCTCCCATCCCCTGTCCCAGACTAGCTGAGCTTTCTCTGAAGCATTTCCAGTCCTCACTTAACTTCTACTGTTTTGGCCCCACCTAGCACATTCCAGAAAGCCTGCTGACTTCAGTCAGAATCCAAGGGCTGCCAATCCAGTCTGTTGCTGCTCTCCTCATCAGCAACTCCATCACCAAACTGTGGAACATGTTCTTTTACTCTCCTTTTCCTTTGGAGATAAGTTTGATGGGCCAAAATAGGTTCAA